ATGCTTTAGTGCTCTAACCCAAAAGCTGGTGCGCTTGAACCCACCCAGAAGTTCTTCAGAAGAAAGGCCTGGCGATCACACACAGCCTTGAAAACGCTACAGAGCACAGCTCTATGCTGCAAGACATGGGGTTGCCTTAAGCCCGAAGTGCCACGGGGCAATTGGTTTGATTTCCTTTGCTCTTATCTGTGGCTATCAGATGGGTGCAGTTGCGGGTCGGTGTGGGGTGTGTTTGCAAAGTAGGTAGCTTCTAAACGACTAAAAATATGATTTGAAGTACTTACCAACATAGGTGCAAGTATGCTTGAAACAACTGATGTATGGAATGTTATAATACGGTAGCTGTAAGAGCCCCGAATAAAATGATTTTTTAAAAAACCCCAAAGTACTTACCAAACCCCAAATCAAACCCATCAACATTGCGTTGATTCCAACCCAGGGTTTCTGAAGCTATCAAGCTTCATGCCAGCAGATGGCCTCTTCTTTCTCTCTTCAAGTGGTGGGTGGGTCTGAACCACGGATCTTCAGGTTGGCAGGCCAGTGCCGATGTGACAGGGCCAGCAGTACTTCAAAACCAAACTGAATTCTGACTCATAGCGACCCTATAGGACAGGATAGAACCGCCCCTGTGGGTTTCCAAGATTATACATCTTCACTGGAGTAGAAAGCCTCATTCTTCTTAGGTTTGGTTGATTGTTTTGCTAGGTAGGAAGAGGCAGGGAGTGGTGGGGGTGTCCCTCTCCATGCCTGAAGGACCCCTACAAGAGGTTGGAAGAGAATCAGGCAAGCCCTTAGCCAGCCACGAAGACTAACTGGGCGGCCCAAACTAGGCCCAGGTGGGCTTAATTCAGCCAAGGCGGCCAACCACGCCTCCCAGCCTGAGGCACCAAGTACCTGAGCAGGAGACCACCTTCTTCTTCACCCATCAGCTCCGCTTGGCCGTCTCTGGCCACAAGCTACCACGTGTGGGCGTGCAGTCCCATGAGGTTGCCTGTGTTCAGTGACTGTAAAACCAGAAACTTCTGTCCTTTGTGAAAAACTACTTGAATCACAAACCAGGCTTCGTGTGAGTTTGTTCTCATGCGAAGCCAAGAACCAAGGTACAGTATTTCCCACCAGAGGCACCCAATAGTTTGAACTGTTGACCTTGTGGTTAGCAACCCAGCGCAATAAGGCACTACACCCCCCAGGGCTCCTCCACCAGTATTTAGAGGTGTGAAGATTGAGTATCAAGGGCTTTGGACTAAAGGTCTTATAACCTGTTGTGAACAAACAAGCAATCTAGAGGTAAACACAGAAAGGACCATTTTGGGGTCATGTGTGCAACGGGATCTACTCCAGCTTCTTGATAACAGGACTTCAGAGGGAAAGTCTGTGTGTTAGACCTGGTTGAATAGAGATAATCCAGGTATACTCATATATGTGTAAGAGAGAGCTTTATATAAACAAGTAATTATATATCAAGCAAATATCCCAGCCCAGTCCAGATCAAGTCCTTAAGTCCAATACTATTCCACAGTGTGATATGAATCCATAAATCCCTCTTCGGACTCACGCAGCCACGTGGAATGAAGCAGAATGCAGGAAGATCGCAGGTCAGTGAGTGCAAAGTCTTGTGGATCCAATGGCGGTGGACACATTTCCAGGGTTCCGGCTGCTATTGGTAAGGCTCCAAGTGGCTCATCAACAGGAAGGTGAAGCAGAGAGAGGCGGGGTGGGGAGGTTCCCAGGACCCTCCTTATGAGAAGGCCATGCCCACAAGGAGGTACTATCAGACTGTGACCAGATTGACAGACTAGACTCCACCCCTTCACCCTATTTGTCAATTGGCACGAGACTTTGTAGCCACTACAGTCTGCATGGTATACTGGCAGGCTAGAGTCTAAGCCCAGGCACTCCCTCTTTGCCAAAGATTCCTAACCCCCAGAATGATGAAGAATAGATCTAAATTGATCCTGTGGACTGCAGGTAGTTGGCTGAGGAAGGCTGTGTAACACTTGTGGCTGCATGAGATCTCCAGGTGGCAAGAACCTCACGAAGGTCTGAAATACATGCTCCTGTCAGTCCAACGGGGCGGCTTGAATAGTGGGCAATGATCACACTTGACGAGCGGATCTTGCTCCGTAGCAGACACAGGGAGATAGATGGTCTGCAGGCACCTTGGTGTCTCTTCCCTGAGAGGAATCCCCAGAGCAGTGGGACTGGCCACTGCTGAGGTGTTGACAGGCTATTATTTGCCGTGGGATCTTTTGGGTTAAGGTATTCCAGAAAGTGATTCAGGTCCCATTGACATCCTGTCCAATAAACCACGCCGATACCTGGCCCTAAACACAAGTTTCATTCATGGGTCAGCCTGCTCTCCTCCAAAGAGTTTCTTTGACACGATGATACAATTGTGGACCCACCCCTGGTGGTGTACTAGGTTATGTATTGGACTGCTAACTGCAAGGGCAGCAGTTCAAAACCACCAGATGAGGCTTTCGACTCCAGTTAAGATTTATAGTCTCTGTCCTACAGGATCCCTATGAGTCAGAATTGATTTGATAGCCTTAAGGGATTTAAAGTTTTATTGTTAATGCCATTCTGTCCTGGTGGCACAGTGGGTTCAGGGTTACTGCTAACTACAGGGTCTGTGCTTCAAACCCACGAGCTGCCCTGTGGGCAAACGATGAAGCTGTCTGCTCCTGTAAACAGGTCCTCGGACCCTTGTCCCTCTCTTCCTTTCCTGTGGAGATTTAAACAATACCCTCCCTGTGGGTGTATTAGTGCCCTGTTCCCCCATCACCCTCTTCCCCCACCTTCTCTTTCCCCCTCTTTTTTTAGTTGGCTGCCATATGGATCCCTGGGTTGGGTCAGACCCCCGCCAAAGTGCCTGCCCCCTGACTTGACATTTCTGCATTACGTAGCTTATCCACTATGATCATTGTAGTTTTTGAGCTTACCTCGGTGGACTCATGTTGGTACTCTTTGTGTGTGTGTGTGTGTGTGTGTGTGTGTGTGTGTGTGTGTCTGTGTGGTACTTGCTTGTTTCTTTGTTTTACACATCATCTTATTGGGGGGCTCTTACAGTAAGGTGACCAGATTTAAAGGGGGCACCATTGACCGGAGGGCGGGGTATGTGTTCTTGATTAAAAATTTGGTCTATATGGACCAAATAGACCGTTACCTAGCTTGTCGTGCACTTTCCAAAAATCGGGACTTTTTTAAAATGCCAAATATCGGGCCTGTCCCGCCAAAAGCGGGACATCTGGTCACCTTATAATCAATCCTCAGGATTTCTGTGTTTTCTCTTTATACGCCAGCAACCAAAATAAGGGAATAAGACTTCTCACATTCCAGATTCCTGTCTTAGAGAAGATTTTACATTTCTTTCTTTCTTTCTTTTTTAATATGTTTCATGGACATTGTGGTTAGCAGCCCAAGACCTAACCCCCAGTCCTGCCGGAGCTCCTTGTTCATGTGTGCAGGTGTGAATTGATCTTAGCCAGTTCCATTTAGGTTATTTGTTGTAGACGGACAATAGTTTCTAGCCCTGTGATGCTCAAACTTTACCGTGCATTATAACTACCTGAAAACCTTATTAAAACCGGAATCCTAGGACACAACCCAGTTTTTAATGAAATAGGTCTAGGATACGGCCTGTAATTTGCATTTGTTGATGGCCCAGGGACTAAATTTTGAAAATCACTGCTGTCCAATTTAGAGAGTTAATAAGTCTTGATTACTACTTATTTCACTCATGAGAACTCATTTCCAATCACCAGGTTGTATCAAAGTCCTGGTGGCACTTTGGGACAAGCACTGGGTAGCCAACTGCAAGGCAGATGGTTAAAGCCCACAAGTAGCTCCGAGGGAGAAAGATGAAGATTTTTGCTTTGGTTAAGAGACATTGTCTTGGAACTATTTTATAGAATCACTACGAATTGGAATCAGTTGGCTGAAGTGAGTTTGTTTTTGGGGGGGCAAATTTATCAACGAAAACTCATCATACATTTATTACGACTATTAGTAAAGATACTTGAAGTGCTGCTAGTAGCTGATCCCAACTTCTCATGTCACCAGACAGGTAATACATCAATTTTCAGTTATAATTAGGTCCCCTCTTTGACTGCTAACTGCAAGTCAGCAGTTTGAACCTACCAGCCACTCCAGGGGAGAAAGTTGAGACTTTCGGCTTCCATAAAGATTTAAGCCTCGGAACCCCTAACGAGCAGTTCTACTTTGCCTTAAAGGGTCAGTATGAGTTGGAATTTATTCTGTGGAAGGTGAATTAATGTAGCCCTTTAAGCCACGGTTCTTTATATAATATATTATGGTTCTGGACGTTATAGTCCTGCGGCTATGGCTAGGACTTTATAGTCCATTATGCTGACGGACAGGAGTGGGGTGGTTTTGAGAACTGGCCTTGGCGGAGGGTGTGGGCGAAGCCACATAACTTTTTTTTTGAGGGCAGCTTTAATTCTCCACTTTAGCACTGGGTAGGAGTGCTGGTGGTGTTGGGTCATGATTCTCATGGTTGGCAGTCTGAAGCCAGTAGCAACTCCACAGGAGAAAGACTGGGCTGTCTACTCCTTAAAGAGTTGCAGTCTTAGAACCCACAGTGGGTCACTATGAGTCAGCCTTGACTTGTTGGCAGTGAGTTGAGCTAGTATTGGTTGAGATCCAGGCCACACTCTTTGTTTCCTTGATGATATCTTAAAGACACCACCTTAGTACCGGGTGTGAACCAGGCCACATCCTTGGTTTTCCTCAGCTATACAGTGATGCCACCACACAGTTCTATGTACATCATCTCACCTGGCAAGCCGGCCTCTATTTTCCTCACTGAGCTTTTGATAGAAGCAAGAAGACCTATTGTGGCTTTTGGATATTTTTGGCTTCTGACTCTGGACCTCTGCCTAACCATTGGATTTGGATTGAATATCACCCACCACCACAAATCCTACTGGGAATCATATGAGCATACAATAAATATTTATTCGATGGATGAAGAATCAGGATAAAGTTTGACCAAAAAAACCAGTTTATTCATTAAGCGATAAAACTCTTTTCTTGTATACTCCACAGGCGCTGTAGCAGAACAGTCTTTGTTGATGTAGCCTTCAAGCATTTCCTTGATCTGTCATGGTGGAAATAAAGGAAATTAAGATGGATTTGGATTTCCTGGGCAGCGAATTCCTTTCTTTAGATCTGAGTAGCATAATGTTATCTAATTATTACAGTAGAAAATAAGGTTCATTACAAATAACCAATAAGCAACCCTACGAATTGTCTGAATTTTGACAGTCAGTGGCCCTCTTGCAATAAATGTATTCTTCTGTAGTAATTTACAGTCTGAGCAACATGCAATCTATACAAACATTTAGTTAGAATTCTATCCATGGCATCACTAAGGTTGGTGTAAATCATAGTGTCATCCTTACCCCTAAGGACCTTCTCTAGTACAAATCATGCAGAACCCTTAGTAATGTCTATTATCTATTTTAATCATACAGTTGTATGTACTAAAAATAATGTGAACATTTAGATGTAACATTTCTTAGATTATATGAATAAAACTCAATGCCAACTCCATTGTTTTGTACAATCCTTCCACTATAAATTACATGAGACTATCTGTTCCTGTCAATATTTACAGCCTAGGGAATTCTGTGTAGGATCTCCATATGTTGGAATCAACGAGACGGCAGTGGGTTGCTCTGATTTTGTTTGATTTTGGTTTAGTTACATCATTGGTGAGTGAGCAGAAACTTTTAACATTTTTTTCTTTCAATTACTATTCTATTCCCAAAAAAGTAACTGATACAGGCTCACAAATACTAATTACTGTTGTAGCTAAAAGTAATGGATAATTTGACAAAACCAGAAAGTATGGAAACACTGGCAGCTACAAAAACAACAGGGTTTGCTTATATTGTATGCAGATGAAACTGTATGTTTAGAAACACCATTGTAATTGGCTAATAACGACAGCACATTAACCAACCAGGCAGTCAAACAAAACCCCCAGCAAAAAAAGACCAACCCCCATTCACTGCCATTGAGTTGATTCTGACTTGCAGCAACGCTGTGGGACAGAGTAGAAATGGCCCTTTGGGATTCAGAGGCTAAAGATAGTGGTGGAGTTTTGTTGTTGTTGTTCTTTTTTTTTGTTTTGAAAAGTGCTGTCAAGGAGCCCTGGTGTCCTAGTGGGTTATGTATTGTATGGCTAACTACAAGGTCAGCATTTCAAACCTACCAGCTGCTCCACAAGAGAAAGATGAGACTTTCTACTCCCTTAATGATTATAGCCTCTGAAACCCAATGGGGGTAATTCTACTCTCTCCTTTAGAGTTGCTATGACTAAATGGCAGTGAGATTGCATACTAGAAAGTTCATAAAAGAATTGATCCTAGAATTTTAGCCATGTAGGTATACCGATGCCAGCAAATTGGATTTTCAAGATGTTTTTGTTACTATAACTAACTATAGTGACTTTAGTGGAAATTACTGCGGAAACACGGCACAAACATTTTATTTCCATTCTGATGACCTTCCCTTACTTATCTGGACATCACTGAGACCATGGAGTTGATTTGGGGACAAGCTAATGGGATTCTGATGCACTTAGAAGGAGTGCTCATTGCTTACCTTTGCTACAGGGGGCGCTGTACTCAGCAACTGCAAAATCACCTGAAAAAACAAAAACAAAACCATTAGGAAACAACCTGGAAACCATTAGGTGAAGAGAAAGGGAAAAACAAACACTTAGGGGACACGGTGCCGTGATGGGGCCTCGTGTGGGAAGAAGCGCATCCTCTCAGGATGTAAGTATCATTCACTTGGCTCATTGCTCGAGGAATTTCATTACTGCCTTTCACAGATGTTCTTTCCCTTGAACCTACAGTTTTGTGGGATATTTTAGATGTTATACTTCACAAGCCCCTCATTTTGTCCTACAGGCACTGTGTGCTGGTAGCTGATACATTTCTGCCAGTTTCTACAACGTGGGCAGAGAGAATTAGGAGCGCTAGACTTCCTGCAGACAAAATGAAGGGCTAAGAACATCAAGGTCACAAACGGCTCCAACACATCGAGCAGATCTGATGTTCTATCATCAGGGATTTAGTTCCCCGGGCAAAAGTCTCCTACTTACTTGTCTCATAGTAATCGTAGACTTTCACGATGGCTGGTTTTAGATCTCTCACAGGGATGTCCTGCTGCACGGTGAAGGCCAAGCTCAGTGTCTGATTGGTCACCTGGAAAGGAAAGAAGAATCAAACCATCCTCCAGGGACCTTTTTGTGCTCTTCTTCGGTTAAGTTTAAGGACTCCTCTAGTATTGGGGAAAATCTTTTTATCAACTAGTAAGCCACTCCTGAGTCCTTATATTGTACACAAAACCCTTACAGCATGCAAATGAGGAATTCCCCCAATGGTTTTTGAAATCACCCAAAGGGCTCATATGTTCTCATGAATTCCCTGTGTGGCTCTGGTCATAGGCGATGGACAATATTTCGACTCTATTGGTTGGGTAGCCATGAGACTTGGTACAGTTATACTCCTTGTGAAGATATTACTCTCACTAATGAAAGCCTTAAGGCCGATAAAAACAAACAAACAAACAAAGGCTGATAAAATTTGTCATACCTATCAATATGGAAATGAATAAACTATGCTACAACATATAGCTACACAATCAGATTGGTTTACTGATGGGGCTGTCCTCATACATTTATGATCCAAGTCTTAGTTCAAATGGATACTGTTTCTTTTTTTTATATGGATGTGGTATGGTGGTGCTGATATAATAATTGATTACTTTTCAGAGGGCTTCCTTAGAGAGATTATTGTTTATATTTTTCACACCTAGACTGGCAGGCTCTCACCTTCTCCAGGTATAGCAAGACATGATTGCTGCTGAATTCTGTCCGGCTTACAAGGTTGGCTCTTTCAAGCTGAAAAAAGAAAAGAGGTCATAAATGTTAATAAATAGATATAACCCATGAGTTACATCCAGGAGAGAAAGGGGTTTTTGTTGCCAAATTTAGCTTAAAGATAGAACATTTTCAAAAGTTTATAATGAGCAAAGACAACAAAGTGTAAAATCTAAAATGAAAGGTAATTTGACCTCAGAATTAAATATGAGTTTGACACATGACCTTTGTGTAAATTTGATTATCTGAAGAAAAGGGAGCAAAACACCCTAAACTTGGGAGTCCCTCAGATGTTAATTCACATTCTACTCCTTTACGAATGAGTTTTTTTCCCTCTTACTCTTAGAATACTCTGATTTTTCTTTGAACTCTTGTAATATTTATAATCAATGTTTCATTTTGTTTTGTTTTGTCTCTGTTTGTTTTTTTTTCAGTTGCTTTAAGTGGAAACACATTTTCTTTTTCATCGGAGTCTAAGTTTAGGAAGGCAGGAACCTACTGATATTTTCTTCTCATTACCATCACTCTTACCAGACTGATGCAAGTGCAGGGGCCCATGTGAACATGCTACATTACATGCTACGTTACACTTTTCAATTTGGAAAATTGAAGGTATAGTTCTCTGATATGGAACCTGGTGGTGCTACTGGGTAAGCATTGGACTGCTAACCTCAAGGGCAGCTGTTCAAACTCAACAGCCACTCCACAGGCAAAAGATGAGGCTATTTGCTCCCAGAAAGGTCCCCCCCCCACCCAAATAAAAAGATTTACGAAGCCTTGGACCACCGTATATAGCGTCTGCTATGAGTCTGAATCCACTTGATGACAGTGGAGGTTGGATTTGGGTTTATGGTTCCTTAATGGAAGCTGACTTAGAAATATTTCAGTATCAGCATTTTCTTGTTCTGGGGATAGATAGCACAAGAAATAAAAGACCATTTCCCGGGCTTATAGTACACCTACCATTTTCACTGTTGGTTTCAGGGGAATGAACCCAGACACCATCTTCACATCAGCAATCACCATGTTGGAGGCAGGGCGGCTTCCTGTGTAACTGAAAATCCGAGGAGGGAAGCCAGAAAGGAATTAGGACTGTGTGTTATTAGACATTCCCGTTTCTACATATACAGTAAATACGCAGAAATTCTGAAAGCTGCATGCAAGTCTTTCTTAATATCCTACACCAATGATTTAGACGATTGGCTGTGTCTCTGCATTGGCAGGGCTCTTGTTAAAGCCACAGAGACTTGGGCCTGGGCTAGACTGGCTGAACCAAAACTCCATGTATGTGAATCTGTGCTTTAAGAAAAAAAAGTTACAAGTGATGCTTATCTTGGGTCTGAGACCTCTAGTTATATACATTTTATCTTGATGTTTTTCCTGAACAGTATTCCCAACAAGTAATAAAATCCTTTTTAGACAGATACTTTTTTTTTTTTTTAATTTTAATTTTAATTTTTTTCTTTTTTAACATTTTATTAGGGGCTCATACAACTGTTATCCCAATCCATACACACATCAATTGTGTAAAGCGCATTTGTACATCGTTTCTCAAAACATTTTCTCTCCATTTAAACCCCCGACATTAGGTCCTCATTTTTCCCCTCCCTCCCCGCTCTCCCCTCCCGCATGAGCCCTTGATAGTTTATAAATGGGTATTTTGTCATATCTTGCCCTGTCCGACGTCTCCCTTCATCCACTTTTTGGTTGTCTGTCCCCCAGGGAGGAGGTCACACACAGTTCCATGTAATCGGTTCCCTCTTTCCTACCCATTCTCCCTTTACCCTCCCTGTTTCGCCACTCACACCACTGGTCCTATAGGGCTCATCCGTCCTGGATTCCCTGTATTTTCAGTTCCTATCTGTACCAGTGTACCTCCCCTGGTCCAGCCAGTCTTGCAAGATAGAATTCGAGTCATGGTAGTGGGAGCGGGGAGGAAACCTTTAGGAACTAGAGGAAGGTTGCATTTCTCATCATTGTTACATCGCACCCTGACTGGCTCATCTCCTCCCCTAGACCCCTCTGCAAGGGGATCTCCAGTGGCCTACTAATGTGCTTTGGATCTCCACTCTGCACTCCCCCCATCATTCACTATGGTAAGATTTTTTGTTCTGATGATGCCTTACACCTGATCCCTTCGACACCTCGTGGTTGCATAGGCTGGTGTGCTTCTTCCATGTGGGCTTTGTTGCTTCTGAGCTAGATGGCCGCTTGATTACCTTCAAGCCTTTAAGACCCTGGACAGATACTTTTTTTTTTGGCAAGTCCAGTCACTACTTAAATGTTGCCATATAGATTGGCATTTTCCTGGAAATATCATTTAAAATATAATCTGAGATTTATTTATCCCTTATGGTCAGAAGGAATTTTAACAGAGAGTTAAAATTCTATTCAAACGTTTCAAGAATTCTCCATTTCAATCTTAGATTGGCGAAGAATATTGTAGAATTCCTACATTACATTAGAAGGAATTCAGATCAGTGATAAAAGATGATGTTCTTTCTTTATTTAGGGGGAATTTTTCATCATGCCATAATGAGGATGGTTAAGAATAGATCTTGAGAAATTCTGTTTGTCCCTAGAGGAGAGGACATTGATTTTTCAACAAATGTGTAAATATTGATAGTCACACTGCTCTACTAACTGAGACATCCCATTCAGCTGATGACCGCTGTCCTTAGAACGGAATGTATTGGTGATACATTCAGAAGGTCTTACCTGACATTCATTAAGACCTGGAAGCTGCTATGAGCTTTAAATCCATCACAAGTTTGGGGCACAGTCTGCACCTTCAAAGCAAATGGGAACTCCTCCTTCCCTGGGAGAACATTGTACTTCAAGGATGTCTATGGGATATCAAAGAAAGAAAAAGGAAACCTGTTTTTATCACTCTTCCTCACATTCCTTTCAACTATTTGAAAGGGATTTGCTCTATCACTTGCCCAGTTAGAATTCTTCACTAAGCAGAGTTATTGTGCACCCTCTGCTCACATGTCTCCCAGGGGTCTTACCTGGATATAAACACATCTGTCGCCTGTCACTTTGGCAGTGTATTCTCCGGGCACCTCTGGCAAGGGGATCTGCTGTAGCAACAGCTTGTTGTTGTTGTCCACTTGGCAATGTGTGGAAAAGCTCCTTGAATTTATAACAGTCACCTGTGTGGCTTTCCCAGTGCTGGAGAAAGTGGCTGCTCCGTATCTGGACAGGGCATGGAGGGCCACCACTGTGTCCTGAAGGAGGCAAACAAGGGAATCTGCTCAGAGATGACATGGTTTGGAGAGCTTATTACAACAAAGAAGATTGGATAATTTTCTTTCTTCATGAAGAATGCTGGAGTTCTAATAGTTAAATGGATTATGATCATGAGATAAGATGCCAGAACCATACTATTTACACATTATTTTGTATCTCATAAGATGGATCGTTTTCTCAATATGTGAGATGTAGAACGTGGCTAGTGGTGGATTTAGAATGTGGAGCTAATCGGAAGGTCGTTTTTTTTTTTGGTTAAGTTTGTGGGAAAATCCCCTTATCTTTTCATTCCATAGTCCCATGAACTTTGTGATGCTCACTCTTTTATACTAGGGGATTATTCCATGCATTACTTTGCCTTTGATGTCTTACTTAGCAACTATGGTAGGACCTGCTATCTATCACTCAACCAAAGTTCAATTTGAATCCTCAAATTAATCTTTGCTCCACTGCTGGTGTCAATGCCTTGGGAGAAACCCAATTGCTTAACAGTCATGATCAACATGGGGTTTGACAGGCCCAAGTTGAGCTATGTTGACACCTCCCCAGAAGAATGTAATACAGAGGACATCACTGAAGATATAGCCAGGAGAGAGTGGCAGTTCTCTCCAGACCACTCAGGTATGAAATAGGAAGAGGGAGAGGGAGAGGGAGAGGGAGAGGGAGAGGGAGAGAGAACCGCATCCTGGCCCACCAAGTCTTGGGATGACATCACTGCTCTGAGCAGCCATGCACAGAGAGGACCTTAGGGCCAGCCCCATGACGAGACACAATGTTTCCTCCCTGACCCATAGCGTTACGGGGACAGCACTGGAGACACCGGGCAGAAAGGGTGCCTGCTCTGCCCCACGCACAGCGGGGTGAAGCGTGAAGGGAGTGCAGCAGGGCAGCCAGGGGAGCAGAGTGACCAAGTCCCCGAGGACTCCTGAAGATAGACTCTGACTCGGGGGGCAGGGCTTGGCACCTCAGCACCCTTGATCAGAAAACACACACAAGGGTCAGCAGACAGACCTGGAACTACCATTTTTGTTTTTCTTTTATTTGTTCTATGTCTATCGATTATAAGATAGGTGGGACAAACAATCCTGAGGAGAAAACAGTGCGACTGGTGGTTCCAGGGGAGAATGGGAGAGGATGGGGTGGGAAGGGGGTGGTGGTGCAGGGAACCAAAAGACGCAGGGATGAGGGAAAAAGAGGAGATCTAAAAATGATGGCAAGGAGGCCTGGTGGGGTTTGATTAAATCCAAAGAGGAATCACTGAGAGCCGAGTGGAGGGTGAGCCTGATAGCAGGACAGGAGGAAGGTGAAAAGAAATAGAGGAAAGAAGTAGGAAGCAAAAGCTATTTATAGAGGTATAGCTATAGGCATGTATATATGTAAATACATTAATTTATAATGAAAGGAATAGAGGCCAATGTACATATATTTGTATGTTAAGTATTAAGGTAGCAGATGGACTTTGGGCCTCTACTCAAGGCCTCCCTAAACACAAGAACACTTTGTTCTAATAACCTGGCACTCTGTGATACTCACAAAGAGTGTATCCTGACATGATCACTGAAGACAAAATGGGTACATAAGCAAATGTGGTGAAGAAAGTGGATGGTGCCCAGCTATCAAAAGATATAGTGTCTGGGGTCTTAACGGCTTGAAGTTAAACTAATAGCCATCCAGCAGGGAAGCAACAAAGCCCACATGGAAGAAGCACACCAGCCTGAGTGATCATGAGGTGTTGACGGATCAGGTATTAGGCATCAAAAGATAAAAAACAAGCAATTATATTGATGTGAAAGAAAGGGTTGGAGTGGAGACCCAAAGTCCATCTGCAGACAACTGGATCTCCGCCCACAGAAGTGTTACAAGGAAGGGACAATTCAACCAGGGTGAAGTATAGCGCCAATGAAACACTGTACCTCTAGTTCCTGAATGATTCTCCCCCCACCCCACACTCCACTACCATGACCCAGTTCTACCTGCTAGACTGGAGTAAACACATTGGTACAGATAAGAGCTTTCAACACATGGAATTCAGGACAGATAAAACCCTCAGGAATAGTAGTGGGAGTAGAAATATCATGTGGGTAGGGGGATTGTGGGGGCAGGGTGGGGGAAGGGGAAGGTGCAGAAAGGGGGAACCATCACAAGGTTGGATATATAGCTCACCCCGAGGGGGATGAAGAACAGAGCTGTGGGTAAAGGGAGACAATGGACAGTGTAAGACATGAAATAATAACAATAATATGTAATTGATCAAGGATTCACAAGGGGGGATGGGGGGAGATGGAGAGGAAAAAAAGAGGAGCTGATACCAAGGGCTCAAATAGAGAGAAAATGTTTTGGAAATATTGATGGCAACATATGTACAAGGGTGATTAATACAATTGAATGATGGATTGTCATAAGATTTGTAAGAGCCCCCCCCAATAAAATGATTAATTTAAAATTGTGGTTTGATTTCTCCGAAAGAAATAAAATATAAATAACTATGATTATTTTCTTGATTAGGAACAGTGTTCCATGACTCCATTTTAAAAAATGAGAGCATTTCCAGTATTTAGTGCTTTTTCTACTGGTATGCTATATTCTCAATTCTCATCAACATTCAGCTGAATGGACATCTTTCAAATAATAAATCCCTAAGAAATAAATGGTAGATGCTTGAATACAATCATTATAAAAACATTCAAATGGAAAAAAACAAGAGATAAAGGAAGGGGTGCCTGCTTGCCACATTTTTCTTTCTCTTTGAGGATAGCTACACTGACTTCTCAGTTTTCTGGAGAGAAATATTTCTCTCATGTACATCAAGACATTGAGCGCTTTTCGAAAAGAAGATGTTCTAAAATTGATTGTGGAAATGATTGTACAACTCTTCTTGATATGATGAACTATTGAACTGTATGATAGGTGAATGGAGGGCCAATAAAACTGTTAAAAAAAGGGAAGAAATCGAGTCCTCATCCCGATACTGGATGATCTAAGGGTAGTAGGCTCAGGAATTTGAATGAGTCAAGAGAGTCGTTAGGCTCCTGCTAACCAGTATTAAGAGATGGACCTGGGGTGGGGGTGGGGGCATGAAATGTGTAAGGAAGCCATCTAAATTGGAACGAAGAATGGGGAGATTTGTAAAGAGAGAGGATTGGGTTTGAGGAGTTTCTGGGAACAGTTTCTCAAGGAATCGTCGAGCTTCTAAAGGGATTGCAGGAGGTTTTCTTATCTGTTCCACGGTGGCTATTGACCATAGAGCCTAGGCGTCCCACTACTTGATCTACGGAGGGACGCTTGTGGGACATAGGAGACTGTGTTAATAACAGGGATGAGCATTTTCTTTTAGTCCTCTTTGACTTTCCTTTCCCCTCCTTTCTTACTCTCTTTGAATTCTAAGCTCCTCTTCTTTCCTTTGCAACTTATATTTTCTACTTGCTACGCGGTTCTAGCATCTCCAAACCTTTCGCTGCCTCAAGCTCAAGCCACGGGTTTGGGCACGCTGCAGACCTGGGTGGAGGAGAAGCCCCCGTGGGCGTTCTGCTGCTTTGTGATCCACTTCACGATGCGCGAGGCAGCTGCGAGTTCCTCCGAGGACGGGGCAGGCTGGGTGGTGAGGTGAGCGAGGAGCACGTAGGCCGTCAACTCCACCTCAGCCGAGGAAGCCTGGGGTTGGCGAAAGGGCTCCGTAGGTGCTTTGGGTTTCTGAGGCCGTGCCCAGTGGATGGAATTATCTGGACACGAGAAAAAGGGATTGATAAGTGACTGCATAGTCCTGTTGAATGTAAGATGTAAGTAGCAAAACCAGAACTGAAATGAGAGCTGCTTTCTTATTATAAGCATCCAAATCTTATAGAGATACCTTTTTTTTAATAGAAAACTTAACTGACTGCATGTCAGCAGGGTTAACCACGTAATAATACCGGTAGTTAATAGTTCTATAGCATGAGGGTAATTTTAAAAGTATGGAAAAATTTGACTATCTCTTAACTCTATTTCTCCACAAAGTTTTAAAGCCCCCTGGCCTTATTATATGGCGTGGACTCTTTTAAGAGTTTTACATGCCTTGAGCCCTGTAACCCCCTAACAACCGTATGAGGGGAACATTCCTATGGTCCCTATTTTGCTGATACTGAAACACAAACAAGCTAAGTGACTTAGTAAGTCTTCACTAAGCCCTTACTTACTACGTTTTAGAGCTAGGGCTCATACCCAGGAAGTCCCCAAAGATTGAGATCCTAGCTACGATGCTACATGGTCTCTCATCTCTTGATGTGAGATTTGATGTAGACGTCCTAGATTTTATAATAGCCCCGATGACACAGTGCATTACACAGTTGGCTGCTAGCTGCATTGTCAGCAGTTTGAAACCACCGGCTGCTCCTTGGTAGAAGAATGAAGCTTTCAACTCCTGTAAGAGTTGCAGTTTCAGAAACCCACAGGGGCACATCTACCCTGTGCTATAGGGTCTTTTCCCTCGAGTCAGTGTAGACTATGTGAGTGAGCGAGTGAGAATGTACAATGGGACTTGATAAATAAGTGAAGAAGAGGGATCACAGGAGATAGGGGTAGAGTTTTTTTGGGTTTTTTTTGCTGTGTAATTTGCAACACGGAGGGTGTGGGTGGGAGAAATCCCTTAGCTCGTGCACTCACCTTCTTTCACAGCTTCTGTTTCAAGTGACGTGAGTACCTCTCTCCTCTTGTCCTGGTTACCTGCCAGGGCAAAAGCATAGGCCAACAGTGCCTTGGTGTAGACATGGCTACCGTGGGCTCCATCCTGGGCTAACTTCCAGGCTGAGTCCAAGCAGTACAGGCCATTTCGGACAACAGGATGCTGGGAAGAAAACAAGGATGCTCATAACTTTGTGACCAGAGATGTTAGCATTTCTAAGTAAGCACACAGATCTGAGCAAGGAGTCAATGATGTTTTTCAAATACACTTGTCCATCTACTCTCATTCTTATGGATCGAGAAAACAGCATTTTGAAAATTGGTTAATTTTCACACTGAGGTTGTTGGAAATTCAGTGGTAGAATCCTTGCTTCCCATGTAGGAGATCTGGTTTCATTCCAGGCCAATACAACTCAAGTGCAAACACCACCCATGTGCCAGTAGAGGCTTTCATGTTGCTGTGATGCTGAAAAGGTTTCAACAGAGCTTCCAGACTCAGATGGGCTGGGAAGAAAGATCTGGCAAAATATTTCCAAAAAATCAGACAGGGAAAACTCTGTGGATCACAGCAGTCCGATCCTATTGTGCATGAGCAGCTGGTGCAGGCCTACTGTGCGCTGAAGCATCAGCAGCAGCAACAGTAGAGCCCTCCATCACCTTGACTCCCGCCCAGAAGAAGCCAGGATGTGTCTATGGAGAGAGATGTGGGCCAGGCTCCTGCTGCCCTGCTCCCTACAGGAAACTGCCAGCAGCCAAGCTGCATGGAGGCCTCTCTGGACACTCACAGGCCTTCCAGACTCGAGTAGACAAAGAACTTGGACGTGAAGAGGATTTGTGAGTTAGTTAATTGTGCCAGCCTGGCCGATAATCACGTGGGTCTGGTTGAAAGACGGAGGGATAAATGGGTGGTGAAGCCTCGCCTTTCTAGTTCTCGGGTCTCTTGTTTTGTGATGGTTGCATTGGGTGCAGCTGCCTTAGCAGTTCCCTGCTTCAGCTTGCAAGATGGATTTCCTACAAGACATCCCCAAGGAGAAGCCGCATGGATCTATCCCGATGCAGCCCTGGGTGCTGGAGCAGCCGTATGGCTGCCAGTGCTGAGATGCTTACACGTTCACTGACTCAGCTTTCCTCCTGCAGTCGGCATTATTGCCTCTGTTTTGTGAGGTGAAGGACTTTGTGCACTGGTGTTGGGTATGGGTTAATGTTGGACTTGTGGGCTTGGGCAGCATTGGGTTGGGATGTTTTTGTGATGCACATTTTCTTTGCATAAAACTCTCTCTTATACATGAGTTGCTGTGGATTTGTTTCTCCAAAGTACCTAGACTAATACAATTTGCTTGGCTAGAAAAGAGGGCAATACATTGGGGGCAGAGGCTGGCAGCACCCTGGATACACCTGTTCATCTCTGGATTCCCTCTAGGACCTTGGCTAGCTGGACTCCTAGGTGGGAGGGCCATACTGGGGTCTGGCAGGACCTCTCTTGGTGCCTGCTGCCTCCGGTACACTGGGGCAGACACGGTCGGGTCTGACCACATGATTGGCCAGAGGAATCATCCCAATCCTGGACAGCACATAGCCCAAGGCCAAGCAAGGGGGGACAGGACCCCACTCTTTTGTCTGTGGGCTCCAGAAGCAGTGTCTGGCCTAGATCCCGGTCATCTCGGCAACTTGTGGTAACTAACAATAATGACAAAATAGAGACCATGCATTTAGAATTCGTGTGTGTGTGTGTGTGTGTGTGTGTGTGTGTGTGTGTGTGTGTGTGTGTGTATGTGTGTGTGTGAAGGGGTGAGGAGAGGACAAATAGCACAGGAGCATCCCTGGGGAAATGTAACTCTCTTGTGCTGATTTGACCAAATCCACTATTCATCTGGGAAGCATTTGGCATGGTATGGAAAGAAATCTGATATTTGGTTTCTAGTAAAGGTGATATTTCAGAAAACAGGTAACCAACTTCTTGGCATCCAGATCTGCATGTGAGTCATCAGGGCAATGAGATGGTACTTACAGTGACTGGGAGAGGAATTTCCAGAAGGGCGATGATGATGTAGGCAGAGAGGGTCACTTCATCGTCTACTCCACCCTGTAAATATTGAAGAGAGACTTCTATAATTTAATTTATGACAATGTTCTTACTCAGTATATTCTGCTGTGTCAAGGAATTTATTCTTATCTGTATCAATTACTAGGTGGTAAAATATCAAAACCAACTTAATTCTATTCTTCTTTCTTTGTGCTGAGAGACAGACAGGGCTTTCTACTCTCATAAAGACTTACAGTCTTAGAAACCCACAGGGGCAGTCCTACCCTGCCCTACAGGGTTGCTATGAGTTGGCATCAACTCAATGGCAGTGAGTTTTGTTTTATTTATTTTTGGGGGTGTGTGTGCTATCTGTGTTTTATTTTCCTCTGATAACTTCCCGTAGGAATTCTTAAGTTATTACTTTTCATCACTCTGGTGGACATCACCCTGGACAGAGGAAGCTTTGGGACAGTTCACCTTAATGGCATTGTTGAGCAGTGACCCTGAGCTCCTAAAACAGCCACTGTCCTTCTGCTTCTGGGAGAGCCAGGTGAGAGCTTGGGTAATGTGTGCTTCATCAATGAAGGTGAAAGCCCGAGCCTGGGCAAAGGACTTCAGAACAAACGCTGTGAGCCTGAGGGACGAAAGGGTGGGGTAAAGAAGATATTTATGTTGTTACAATGGTAACAGGTTTGGGGGATACTTCTTACATTGGTGTGACTCCTCTCATATAAATCCTCTATAAGTAGAGCCCCCATCTCCCTTTAGTCTCTTGCTCAATCTGTTAGCTCTGGGATTCCCTTTCTGACTCACGTTCTCATTGCTAGTAGTCTAAGTACTTCTGTATTTACTTATTTTTTGAATGAAATTGAAATCTTTCTCCTTTTTGAAGATTCCCTTCAGATGACAGACTCTCTCACATGCCGCGCCCATAGGCAATGGCTTCTTTGTCAGGGAACTGTTGGACTGTGAATTGTAAGACTGGCTGGTCAAACCTACCAGCCATTCTTCGTGAGAAAGACGAGGCTATCTGTTCCCGTAGAGATTCATGACGTCCCGGAAACCCAACACAGGCTTGATATGGGCTGGAATCGACTCTATGGCGGTGAGTTTTGCGCAACATTTCTATGCCCAAGAGACTTAACATACAATGTTTCTTATCATTGCCTCCTCATTTCTTTACTTCTGTGAGTGAATTTATTCTCAGTTAAAGATGAGTATGATATAAAAATCATAGCATAAGCTGAAGTTGATATGGTTTATCAAGATGTTCACTGGTCATATTATAAACCCGAACCAAACAAAGAGAATCCAAATTCATCATTGTGGGAAATACAGAAAGAATAGCTTATTAACAGGATTAATTTGAGGAACAAGTTTAATATACAGATATTTGAAGCTCAGATTTTCTCCTTAGTATACAATTGTCATGGTGCACATACAGAACTAGCATTAACAATAAGAGCTCAAAAATTGCCCTCCTCTTACCATGTATTTCCTGGGTTCCTGCCATATTGTTCCCCAAAGGTGCTGTAAGAACCATCAAAGTGCTTGTACTTCAGCTGTCTCTGGTACCCTGAGTGAAAGTGTTTATGAAATAATATGATAGATTAATGTGTATACTTAGGCTAGAGACATTACCCAAACACTCTGGGCTCTTTTGTGATCTTTCCTGAATTTTGTTGTTACTTCATTTAGAAGGTTTGGAGCCCTAAACAATTTATTGGCTAGTCACCATGAAAAGAACTACCATGGTGTTAGTACTTAGAGATAAGTAGCAATTCAAACTTACTGAGAATCCACTGAAAATAACACTGTGGAGTTTCCACTCTCTTATCCAGTTACTCACCGGCGGCCAGGTAGCCAACAGCCTGGGACTTGATGTCTGAAGTCAGCTGCTGGGTTTCATTCAGATAGTTCAGAACATAAATGTTAGGAGCAAAGAGGACCATGTTCTGTTCCCCACAGCCATAGGGCATCTGCAGGAGGTTTTGCAAGTTTTTTATTGCGGAGCCTAGTATGTCTCCTGGGAAATGAGAGAGATGTGAAGTCATCAGACCTAGAGGTCATAATCTACCACAACCATTTAGAACAAATGGATAATAAACTGAGGTCAAGAAATGAGAATTCTTAGGAAAGGTAAGGAAGGGAGGAAGAAATAAATTAAAACTGCGGCTGCTATTTTGATGATAATGGAAAAGAAATATAGTGGAAATTATTTAATGCGTAAATCCTCTAGGGACTGGAGACTTACCCAAAACGGAGACAGAGGCTCTGGGAGATTCTTTCACCACATTTGGTGGCACATTAAGGGATAATCTTTCAGATAACTCAGCACCTTGAGAAAAAAAATCATCCAGAATGAAAATTATAGCCACTGCATAGCTTCCTGAAGAGCACTAGGACTATGACATCGTTATAAACTTTTCCTAAAAAAACCCAGTCCTCTTTTAATATTCTAGTTCTTTATATTTTGGATGACTCTGTATAGAATTATGCACCATAAGGCAGCCTATGTCTGTCACAAGATGGCTATCATAAGATAGTGCCCATTCTCAACCTTTTGACTTAATTGTTGTATGAATCATGTATTCATAAGCAAATGAAAAATCTCCAAAATGCTCCTAAATTCTACAAGAATACTACATCCTTTCTTTTTTTTTTTCTCTTTGTCTCTTCCAAATGTAAAATCAGAGAGACACGTTTTGTTAGTCTGATATTACTCTGGGAATTTCTGTAGCACTGGAATGGAACCACTACATCCTTTCTTCTAGCAAATTTCACACAGATATTATTTTTATGTGAGCCTTAGCAATGAGGATAAGGAGTGAATATGGGTAGTAATTAACTCATTGAAAATACCCCTCCCCAGGAAGGTGGGGGGAGAAAGGGGGAACCGATCACAATGACCTACCTATAACCTCCCAGGGGGATGGACAACAGACAAGGGGCGAAAGGGAGACAGCGGACAGTGCAAAACATCGAAAAAATTTTTAGAAATTATCAAGGGTTCATGAGGGAGGAAGGGAGAGGGAAGGAGAGGAAAAATGAGGAGCTGATACCAAGGGCTCAAGTAGAAAGAAAATGCTTTGAAAATGATGATGGTGACATGTACAAATGTGCTTGAGACAATGGATGTATGTATGGCTTGTGATAAGAGTTGTATGAACCCCCAATAAAATGATTTATGTATAAAAAAAGAAAAGAAAAAGAGAACTGAATCCTGGCCCACCAAGCCTGAGGATGACATTCCTGCTCAGAGCAGCCCATGCACAGAGAGAATTGTAGGGCAGGCCCCACCATGAGACGTGACATCCCCTCACTGACCCATAGTCCTGTGGGGGACAGCACTGGAGACACAGGGTGGGAATTGTGCCGGGTCTGACACCTCCCCCACCCCCACCCCACCCCAAGGGAGCAAAGCAATGAAGTCCCCAAGGAATCCCCAAAATAGATTTTGGGGGGCAGGGTTTGGCACATCATCAGACTTGATTGAGAAATGTTCATAAGGGTCAGCAGACAGACCTTGAACTATATATAGGCTTGTCCTTTCTTTTCTTTTCTCATGCCTATCTATATAAGATAGGCAGAATAAACAATCCTGAGGAGAAAACAATGGGGCCGATGGTTCTGGGAGTCATGAGAGAGGGGAAGGTGGGGGGAAGAGAGGGAGGACCCAATAAATCCAGGGACAAAGTTACAACAGGAGACCTAAAATTGATGGCGAGGAGAGTGTAGAATACCTGGTGGGGTTTGATCAAGTGCAGTGTAGCTGAGAGGAATTACAAAGAGTTGAATAAAGATGGAACATGATAGTGGGACAGGAGAAAAGTAAAAGGAAACAGAGGAAAGAATTTGGAGGCAAAAGACATTTATAGAGGTATAAATACGGACACATACATATGCAAATATATTTATATATAATGATAGGATATAGGTCTATTTACATATATTTATATGCTAAGTATTGAGGTAGCAGATGGACACTGGGCCTCTATTCAAGTACTCCCTCAATACAAGAATAATTTGTTCTAATAACCTGGCATTCTGTGATTCTCACCTTACCAATATGATCACTGAAGTAAAAATGGGTGTATAAGCAAATATGGTGAAGCAAGCTGATAGTGCCTGGCTATCAAAACATATAGCATCTGGGGTCTTAAAGGCTTGAAGATAAATAAGCAGCCATCTCGCAGGGAAGCAACAAAGCCCACATGGAAGAAACACACCAGCCTGTGTGATCATGAGGTGTCAACAGGATCAGGTATCAGGCATCAGAAGACCCCAAACAAGCAATCATATCTATGTAAAGGAGGGGCGCTGAAGTGGAGACCTAAAGCCCATTTGTAGACAACTGGATATCCCCTCATAGAAGGGTCACAAGGAAGGGACGGGCCAGTCAGGGGCAGTATAGCACCGACGAAACACACAACTTTTTTAATGCTGTCCACCTGTCCCCCCATTATCATGACCTCAGTTCTACCTTAGAAATCCTGCTAGACCAGAGCATAAAGACTGGTATGGATAAGAGCTCTAGACACAAGGAATCCAGGATAGATAAACTCCTCAGAAACAGTAACGGGAGTAGCAATACCATGAGGGTTGGGGGGAAGGCGGGAGAAATTTGAGAAAGGGGAGCCGATCACAATGATCAATGTATTAACCTCCCCCACCCCCAGGGAGATGAACAACAGAAATGTGGGTGAAGGAAGACAGTGGATGGTGTAAGTTATGAAAATAATAGTAATTATAATTTAGCAAGGGTTCACCAGGGTGGGAGGTTGGGGGAAGGAGAAAAAAAAAAGGAGGAGTTGATACCAAGGGCTCAAGCAGAAAGAAAATGTTTTTAAAAGGATGATGGCAACATATGCACAGATGTGCTTGATACAATGGATGCATGGATTTTTATAAGAGTGTAAGAGCCCCCAATAAAATGAATGAATAAAAAAAGAAATAAAATAAATGTTGCTAATGACCCCATCTATTGCCATTTTAATTTTAATGAATTACATGAAGATGAAAAAGATAATTATAGTATTTATCTTCATAGTGCATCCCTTTTTCATAAAATGAATATTAAAATTTTTATAAAAAAACAGACACAAACTTAAACGACAAATGATTAATAGCAAGAAAAATATTTGCAATTTATTTAACAGATAAAAAAATCAGCTCTTATAAATCAGTCAGAAAAAGAAAAACTTCTAAACACTTGAATTGGCAAAGCATAAGAAGGAATGTATAAATATAAAAATAATCTCATTCTCCTTTGTGATTAAGAAAATACAAATTAAAACCAATATACATTTCATGTACCTTTTGGGCAAACATTAAAAATCTTGATGTAAGCTCAGAAGCAACAAAGCCCACATGGAAGAAGCACACCAGCCTATGCAACCACGAGGTGTCGAAGGGATCAGGT